AATATTTGGCATTCATTGGCCGAGCAGTCAAACTTTTAAAATTTATAAAATCTTTCTCTTAAAACAATGTTTCAGGTAAATAGATTTCTCAAGCCCGGTAACTGTTAACGCTCTTTCCAGTATTTGTGGGAGTTTCCTTCCTAACCTTTTGTTTGTAGTAAGTCAACATCTTGATTAGGTCATTGTTTTCTCTTCCAGTTACATCTGCTATCCATATTAACTGTTGCTGCTGTTGATAGTTCTCAAGTAATATGGTTTCTCTTATCTGCTATAATTATTTTTTTTTTGTGATTCTGTAGCGCCTGTTCATTAGATTCGAAAACGAATAGTCCTTACTAAGATCGACAGGCTTCGCTCTGTCGAAGCCATTTTTAACCATTGATCCGAGAATGTGGTTGTACACAACTGACTTTTTAGATAGTTCTTAACGAGTTTGGCGCCAGGCATGACAATCATACGAAAGTCACGATCTGACGAGGCCAACATGACACAATTTCTGAGTACGTCTAGTTATGGTAGACTGAGTTAATGTTTTATTTAATTTTGTTTATACCAGCGTCATGATGCGTGCTATTTTAAAGCTAATTTTGTTTGTTCGTCGACGACATCGGCGGGGGGAATTATTGCTGATAAGCGTTTGATTTATATTGTTCAATTCTTTAAAAGAATAACGTGGGCGAAAGTGAATGTTTGCCCTTTTTGTTCGGTTCATTAATTTTTTTTTTTTTTTAATAGCAGCCATCTTATATCTGTAGAATATTCGCTTTTGAATTGAATAAGACAAGAGTTATTTGCGTTTTTTTTTATATACAGTGAAACAGTATGAGACGTGATAAGCTAAGCAAAATTTAGAACAAAAAGAAAATCTCGTTAGAAGCAAAGAAAGAGTACGGAACTATTACTTAATATCGGTCTTCCTATATGGCAGTGAATGCTGGACAAATCTCATCACTGATGGAGAAGAGATTTGAGGCAACAGAATGGTCCCTCCATATACAAATGCTCAGTATGGGAATGGACAACTCAACACCGCCGACTCAACACCGCCGCCGGGACAACTCAGGACCGAGACAACTCAGCAACAGAAAAACATAACTATTTTATAACCGAATAAAAATAATTTATTAAGGATTAAAACCTTAATAGGTGAATATTTTTAAAGATTATTTTTAATAAATAAAATCGTAAAGACAGTTGTCTTTTTATAAAGTAAAAATTTTCATTAATTAAGGTTTTAATTCTTAATAAATTACGTCTGTTTGGTTATAAAAAAAGTTATGTTTTTCTGGTGCTGAGTTGTGTCGGTTCTGAGTTGTCTCGGCGCTCAGTCGGCGGTGTTGAGTTGTCTTGTACCCGCTCAGAATACCGTGGACTGAACGTGTGAGTAGGTAGGAAACTCTAAGGAATATGGAATAAAAAAGAATACTTATACTTAGAATCAGAAAGAATTGATATTTCTAATGAGGAAAGCAGGCTTGGAGAATTTGATACCCACCAGAAAGATAGAGAAAAAAAAACAGTGACTAATGCACCTAACGAACTTATGTAAATGGTTGGCAGAAAGGGTGTTTTTATCGTGACACCAACACTAAATGGATTGTCAACCAAGGCTCAGAGAGACTCCATTCATCCTCCTCTAAGAGCAGGTTTGAATTCAGAGTTTTCCTTCTCCTAGGTCAGTTGCCATTCAAGGTTATAGAACCCAGTCTGTCCTGCTACTTACCCATAGCTGGAGGGAGAAGAAAGAGGATTCATACCTTTGCACGTAAGTGAATGTAATGGATTCGACTGGAATTCGAACTCGGCTCTCTGATTCCTCAATCCAAGCCACTATCCATTACTGCACCGTGCCTCCTTTAGTTCACATAGACAAGTACACTTGCACACGCACACAAGCAGACACACGCGCACACACAAGCGGACACACAGACGCAAACAAACATTCATACACACATATACACACACAATTATATACCCAGACACAGGCAACTCACGGTCCAACAAATGTAGAAAACCAATATTTAATTTTACCGGAATCTATATATTTAGAGAAGGAAAAATAATATATACTTATAATGAATCTATATATTTAGAGAATTAAACATAATATATACTTATAAGGAATCGATATATTTACAGAATTAAATATAATATATACTGATAAAGAATTTATATATTTAGAGAATGACATATAATATATACTTATAAGGAATTTATATATTTAGAGAAAGAAATATAATATATTCATATAAGGAATCGATAGATTTACAGAAAGAAATATAATATATACTTATAAGGAATCGATATATTGAGAGAATTAAATATAATATATTCTTGTAAGTAATCGATATTTTTAGATAATAAATATAATATAAAATAATGTATTTTTTAAAAATATTTTGACCAATTTCAGGGAACTTTTACTATATATCATTCCAAATTAAGAACTTATATATTTAGAAAATTAAATATAATATATTCTTATAACGAATCGATATATTTTATTCAGAGAATTAAATATAAAAGAAAAGAATCTTCTGACTGCTATTTAACATTTTAGCCGATGTATTTTGTTTTAATATTTTAATTAACTTTTCTCTATGATATATATATATATGTATATATATATATATGTGTGTGTGTGTGTTTGTTTTATCAGATGTTTTACTATGTAGATATAATTCCAAATTAAAATTTGTACGGTGTAGACATTTTAGCCGATCTACATACTGTTTATCGTTAGGATATAAATAAAAGAATTTTTTTTAATATTTTGGCTACATGTAGATATCATTCCAAAATAAAATTTGTACGTTGTAGATATTATTTCCTTGTACATAAAAAGTCAAAATGGCACCCCAAAAAGAGACCACCTTTTAGACGGGCAACCGGTTTTCTCGACGAAATTTAATTTCAAAAGACAAAAGAACTGAGTACGTTTCTTCTTGAGTGCAAAGGGCACAGAAAACAAAAATCCAACTGTTCAACGATATTTTGTGGAGGTGGGTTTATTTTTATTATTTTGTTTAGTTTTTTAATGTTTTACGCCGACATTGCAGCGTTGTGGGCGTCGCCAATTGTAGGTAGACAACAATCCATTTCTTCTAGAAGGGGCGAGTTAAGTTTCCTCATTCGATATGAGACTTTGTAAAGCCATTCAAAATGGCGGAAGAGACGGTGATTATTTCTGAAGCGATTTGTCAGGCCACGAAGCACGGGATTATTCTGTTGCGGGTGGGGGTCTGCAGATTTCATTTTATCCTCTAAAGTAGTCGATATTTTAGCAGATATACCTGTGCAGAATACGATAGCTAGCTAGCTAGCTAGATACATATGAACAGATTAGGTAGATATGAGGACAAGATAAATAGATAGATAGAGAGATAGATAGAGAGATAGATAGAGAGAAGGAAAGACAGAAAGAGGAGAAAACCCCGTGGTAATGAGAGAAAGACAGAGAGAGAAAGAAAGAAAGAGAGAAAGAGAGAAAGAAAGAAAGAAAGAAAGAGGAGAAAAACACGTGATAATGAGAGAGAGAGACAGAGACAGAGAAAGAAAGAGGGGAAAAACTGATAATGAAAGAGAGAGAGAGAGAGAGAGAGAGAGAGAGAGAGAGGCAGACAGACAGACAGACAAATTGAATTCATTCTTATATGGAATCGATTGCTAGGTCAGCCGCAAAAAAAGTTGCTTCACTGTGTCGTACGAGAAAAATTTTATCTCCAGAGTCTTCGTTCATGCTTAGACTATTGCTGCCGCACATGATGTTGTAGAGTAGTTTTTACAGTGGAGGCTTGTATTTACAATAAGTCATCCTAAATTAGGTTCGACGTACAAAACGTTAGGAACTTGGAAATATGAGTTAATGACGCAGCAATCTAGTTGTGATTGTTGGTACTTCAATGTCCGATATCGACTGACTCGCTCAACACCACTGAACCGAACTGGCGACCGCTACTACTACTTATTATGTGTGGGAGAGTCCATTACAATAGAATAGGTATTATTATAGGTATAACATATGGTCAGGTGTCCCTGCTATTTACCTTGAGTTCCTTGATAAAATTCAAAAAAGAATCAGCAATATTATCAGTCCTGATCTGGCAGATCGGCTTTAGTCACTTTCCCACCGTTGCCTCCTGCGTTTTATCTATAAATACTTTCATGGTAATTGTTCAGATAACCTTTTCGCTATGGTACCTAGACTCTTTGGATTTAAGCGCCATACTAGACTGGTGTCGAGGTTTCATCAATTTAAAAATGAGTAGGCTAGATGTAGTCGAAAATTCTATGTTAACAGCTTCTTTTCTCGCACTTCTCATTTGTGGAAATCCCTTCCCGTTCCATACTTTCAGGCAGCTTTAATCTTCAATGTATTGTCAATCGCTCTCTAATGTCCTCCTGGTTACTCTTTTCTCTTCTCGCTCATTATTAATGTTTCTGTTTTTTTTTAATTATTCCACACCTGGTAACCCCATTGTCTTAGTGGCTTTAGTGCCTTGCTTGGATTGAAATCGATTAAAAAAGAAGATAGATAGATAATTTGAATTTGAAAACTTAACGATATTTTCATCCAATTTACTTCTGCATACAAATACATGTTACAAAATTAAATCTCCACACTTAAATTGATAAAGTTCATCAGGGAAAGAAACACGTTGGTATGAAATGGTTCTCCCTTGTCTTTTCTTTTATTCTTCATATAGTATTGTTAGATGTATTTTATTTATACCTGATTGATTGATTCATTTTCTACAGCTTATCAAACCATTGCAGCCATAAAATATTTTTGGATTGTACAAATTTTTGGGAGATAATAATGATTTAGTGGTACAAGTATTACTAATTAACCCATAGCTGAGGGAGAAGAGGTTGATTAATACCTTTCCAGGGGGGGTGTTTGTGCACAAGTAAATATAATAAACCCAACGGCAATTGGAACTCGGTTCCCTGGTTAACATTTCTGAGCCATTATTCGTTACACCACCCTCACATCCAAGCTTACAGCACCTAGTGTTCCCAAGCGATTACCCATCTAAGTACTGACCGGGCTCGACGTTGCTTAACTTCGGTGATCGTACTAGAATCGGTGTTTCAACGTGATGCAGGACTTGTATAATGAAAGTACAACGTGGATCGCCTTTACCATTTAGCTGAAATCGTCAGCGTGACCATAATGTTTCCATTACAACCCGATAACCGGCGATTTGCACATAAATTTTTGATTTGATCGATTAGTTTTTTACGGCTTATCAACCCTTTTCAGGTGATTTAAAGCCTGAAAATACTTTCAGATTGTAAGAATTTGTTTTAGTGGCTATGGAAATAATAATGATTTAGTGATACAAATCTTACTAATTAACCCATAGCTGGGGGAGAAGAAGTGGATTCCTACCTTTGCCATGGGTATTTGCAGGTAAATGAATATAAGGAACTCAAATGAAATTGGAACTCGATTCTCTGATTAACAGTTCCGAGCCATTATCGATTAGAAATTCTAAGGAGGATATGTGAATGAAGTGTATGATACCACTATTCTAGGCATGGTCATTTATAAGTATAAGTAAAATCAGCTTTAAAATAATTTGTAAATATAGGGTTGTCAGATAATTTTTTCCAAACATAGCGATATTGCTTATTCATCCTGTATATATATATATATATATATATATATATATATATATATATATATATATATATGAAGAAATATAGTCTTAAGATGTGCTATATTTATGGGATAAAGTGCTCAATATCAGAGATAGAGCGTGTGTAAATATAAAAGTGAACATTGATCAGGTTCGACGTTGTTTACTTAACTTCGGTGATAGTACGGGAACCGGTATTATTAATATCTGAATTTTTGTTTGATTTTTTACACACACACACAATTATATTATCTCAGTTATTAAATTAAAAATTAAATTATTATCTCATTCTTAGTTATTAAATTTTTAACTAACTGAGATATAATAAAATGTATTGATATAAAATGTAATAATTTGAAATTTTATGGTATTTAGTATCAAATTATATTATTTAAGATCTTATTCTTCTTCATTTTATTCTTTGTTATTAATTGTTATACTTTGATGGCTATGAATTGTTAAAGTTATTTTATTTAACTCACAAAAAAGAAATGAAAGTTAAACAAAAAACTAAATAAAAACAAATTAAATTATTTTTCTTAAATAAGTAAAAACTAATAAATAAAACATAAATTAATTGATGCATGACACACATTAAAGTAAGATGAATACATAGCAAAATTAAAAATATTTAGTGAAATAGGAAAAAAAAACCTTTTTAAATCGTGAAGGAAAGATTTCCAAAGAAGCCTGTTGAAACGTAGGGACGATGAAACACGGAAGTGAAATGAAAGAATTGACCGCAACCCTAAACGTTTATATGCCAAGGAGTTTTCCCGAAGGGGGACAAGCCTTGAAACACGTGACAGTTTAACCATAATATCACTTAGGATACACCATACTTAAAAGAAAAAGAACATTTAGACAGACAAAAAATTATTTTTAATTATTGTAATTTTTTAATTTTCGCTTAGTAAATATAGTCTTCAATTAATAACTTAATAACAGAAATCTGACGATACTTGCAATAACTTCCAAATTAATGTGTCATTTTAATGGAAACGGCTACACGAAAATGCCCATTATGACAAGTCTTACGCAGTTGACAATAAATAAATAAAATAAGATTTTTTACCTATATTTAGAGTGTGTTAGAAAGGAGGAATTTTTTTTAATAATTAAAAAAATACTTTGTTCTTTCCTCTTAATAATATAAACATTTTGACGATAAAACTTAGTTTTCATTAAGTTTGGCAACTTTTATCATCATGATATGCTCTTTTTCAGCGAATTATTGGAGGTACCTAATATATATATATATATATATATATATATGAAGAAATATAGTCTTAAGATGTGCTATATTTATGGGATAAAGTGCTCAATATCAGAGATAGAGCGTGTGTAAATATAAAAGTGAACATAGAAGTCAACACTTAGAGGCGACAGTCTGTTTCATGCGAGATGCAATCTTCAGGCCACCTGACGATTGCATCTAGCATGAAACGACTATCGCCCTATATTGATATATATGTATATATATATATATATATATATGTGTGTGTGTGTGTGTGTGTATAACATAGGATATCGAATACCGACAAAGTTTTGAAGAAATTTGACAAATGAAAAAAATGTTTCAGTGAAACTAGATTTAATTACGCGTTTCTCCTTTCTTGGCTTCATCTTATCCAAAAACGAAAGAAAAGTAAGTGTGTATTTGTATTTGTGTGGATGCTTAAATAATGAATCATATTACTTTTTGTGAAGCTGTCGTTTCTCGTGATTAAAAAAAAAAGAGTGAGTGACTTTTAAAAAAAGCCGTTAATATTTATCCTGTATATTTTCTTTTTAATTCTTAGTTCGTGTCGAAAGTTGTTAATATATTTCCCCCGGCTTTTTTGTATCGAATTAAAGTTAAATTCATCTCATTTTCGGGATGGCTCGAAAGTTTAAATATTTAAAATATTGTTTGTTTAAAGAAAACTTAAATATAAATAATTACTCTATAAACAACTGATCGAAAACAGCAAAGCGGGATTTCTTTGTTTTTGTCTTTAACTTAAAAAATATTTTAATTAAAAAAAATTGTCCGTTTGAGGAAAGTTAAAATGAAAATACTTATTGTATAAACAGCTCGTACTTTAAAATCTTATTTACTTAAATCAGATTAACTTAAATAATTATGCGCCGGGCGGACGCACCACGCAATCACAGACTTTTAGTATTATATAGATTACCGATTTAAGGCTCGCTCAGTTTTGAGTTCTAATATACATTTCGGCTGCATTTTTTTTTATTTTTAAATAAGGCAAAGAAAAAATAATAGTGATGCTTCACAAGGTTCCATGAATTAACGTGGGAAATATTAATTCTCTCCAAAATAAAAAGAATTTATATTTACTGAAATTCATACCAAATTCTCCCAAAGCGAGGCCCTTCAGTTGCACTCTGGTTGGGTTGATTTTTCCGATCGCCCCAAATGTTGTCGATTCGGGTGCTTATAAGTACCTCGGATATCAACCGCAATTATGAAAAGCGAATAACCTCCTGATTTTTGGTCATTTTTCATTCTAAGGGTTGGAATTGTTGCGAGGCAAGCTAAACTAATTTTGATTTAAAATATATAATTTCAAAAGACTGTCAGTAAATTTAACCAAGAAAACTTTGTTTTAAAATTTATAATTTTGGGGGGTGAATTAATATTGGCGATAAGTAATTTTACAATATTTGGGGTGAATTAACAGAAAAGATCCTAACATGGAAATCAGGATCAGATATGTCTACGAAAATGTAGCATTCGTCTTTATAAAAACAACAAGAAAAAAAAATCATTGTAATTGCGTGAACTTTTCAATAGAGAACACACCTAGAGCGTGTGAAAGGTAAAAGTTTCTTAACTATCGAATGGCGAACGTAGACCACAATTCGCTGTGAAATAAAAGCTCGGTCATATGTCAAACCTGAGTGATTTGTCGAGGAAGCAGTTTTTTGAATAAGACGAGAGAGTGACAAAAAAATAAAAAATAAAAAATAAAAATAATAACGAAAGGAAAAGAAAGAACGAAAAAGACTGAACGAAACAAAAGAAAATGAATGAAAGAAAAATTCTGGAGCAACAGCTTTAAAAAAAAACCCAAACAATTCCGACTCAGTCACTTGAACGGTTGTCTTTACGCTAAATGTCAATATATAAAGACTAAGTAAATAAAAAAGAAATCATGCAAATGTTAATTCCCCATGTGATTTCTCTTGTATCATCCAATCAGAAGCAAGACACACAGAAAGAAATGGGATGGTTAAAAATAAATAAATAAAAATATATGCTGACATTCATTTTTCCGACTCACTCGGTGGTTCTCAACCGGGGTCCATATGTTCCCTGGGCATCCATATCAGTCCACGAAAGCAAAATAGTAAAGGTGGGGTCCACGATAGTGTTTTAGTGGTCAGTGAAAAAACGTTGTCCTAGATTTATTGCAAGAAATAAACTAGGTCCAACATGTTTCCCGTTTAGGATTGGGTTTCCAGTTCTTTCTAAAGTTTTCTCATTCTTTTTCACTCCTGGTAACCACTTGCATTTTAGTGGCATTATTGACTTGCTTGGTGGTGAATAGATTAAAAAAGAAACAAAAAACATAGTACAGCCCCCCCCCCAAAAAAAAAAACCCCAGAAAATTTTAGATTTACTATGTGATGAAAAAAAGAATTAATTCATAAAAAAATACTATATATTTTACCTTATGAATGAACTAAAAAGATTACCTAACATAAATTTTTTAACCATTTCTTGTTCCATGATGTCGCATTTATCAAATTTTCAACGCGAGGTGATTGTTCTTTTTAAGAAAGAACATCGAGTTTGGGGACTGAAAAATGCCAAGAAATTTTGATTGAGTTCTTTAGTTTGAAAACCGCATATAACATTTGTTTTTGTCCTGTTTTAAGCTACTAATTTTTTATTTGTTTCAAATAACTTTAACAAAAATTAAATAAACGGTACCAAATTTCCTGTTTTTTTTTTTTTGGACACCCTGTAGTTATAATGTAGTGACGATTTATAGTCAAGGGAGATAACCTACTTGCATTTCTTTAACCTAAATCATTTTTTACAGTAAGGTTCATCTAGTAGAAGACTCGGGGACCACTCGAGGTAGAAATTTACGTTAGGGGAGGTATTTATATGGATAAAAAGTGCGAAGATAACGGTTAACTCTAGACTTGAACAGGTTAAGATTGTAGCGATCGAGGAAACATCCTTTTGGGTGTTTGTTCCACAGGGCAGTTGTCCGCAAAAAGAGGCTGTTCGAGTGGAACTTGCTTCTCACCGATGGAATACAGAGGGAATGTGGGTGGTTTTCTACAATGTAAGTGGCATGGCGGGTCCTAGCCGTGAAGGTTACATCTGACGGAACCAAGAAATGTCGCTCGTCTGAGCACTTTCCATAGTAGTTTTGATAGTGATTACATTGAATTGTATGCTGAACATTTGAAAATCTTGCACGAAGATATGA